GCTCTGGAACCCACACCTATCTTTAATATTTTGAGGAATCTTCATGCTTTTTTTGCATAGCAAAAATAGTTTTATATTCCAGTATAACTGAGATTGAGTTAGATGACTGTCAGTAATATCTTGGTTCTTGAACTTGATTCTTTCCATGATTCTGGTTGCAAATTGAGTTGGATGAGAACCAAATCAAACTCAGTGGCTAGTTTCAGTGTTGATCTTATTGGGAAATTTGATTCAGTTCTAGTCCAGTTTGATTTATAACCAGAATTATGGAGAGAATTGATTTCATAAACTGAGGTACCATTGTACATGCTAGGTAAGCACTCTAACACAGAGCTGCACCCACCTCTTATTTTATATTCCAGCAAAGCATGGGTTCTGATTTGTACTCATCTTCACCAATAACTGTTATTTTCTGTTACCTCTTTCTTTCTTTCTTTTCTTTCTCTCTCTCTCTCTCTTTCTTTCTTTCCTGGCTTTTTGACACAGGGATTCGCTATGCAGTACAGGCAGGACTTGAGCTCACTTTGTAGTCCAGGCTGCTCTTAAACTTGCAAGGATTCTCTTATCTCAGCCTTCCAAGTGCTGGGATTACAGGTGTGTGTCACCATGCCTGGCTTGTTTTTATTTTTCTGAGAGTGGGCATTTTAATGAGTAGGGTGGTATGCGCATTGTGGCTTTGATTTACATTTCCCTGATTTCAGGATGTTCTTGAGCATCTTCTCATGTGCTTGTCATGTTATATATATGTGTGTGTATATATATACATATATCTTTAAAGAAATGTCTATTAAAGCTCTTTGCCTATTTTTAGTTGGATTGTGTTTTTGGTGTTACTGAATTGTAAGAACTTTTTATATATTCTAGATATTAACTCTTATTGTATATAACAAGGTTTGCAAATATTTTCTATTTTGGAGGCTTCCTTTTTCTATCATTCTATCAAGTTTGATAGTCTTCTTTGTGTATATTTTTTTCATTTGTTGCCAGTGTTATGATATCACATCCAATAGATTAGTACCACATTCAATGTCATTGAAGCTTTTCTCTTACATTTCCTTTTAGGTGCTTTATAATCTCTTTAGGTCTTCATTCCATTTTGAGTTAATTCTGGTACAGGGTAAGACTCCAAGTTCATTCTCTTTCATGTTGACAATATAGTTTCACTAAGAACACTTGCTGAAGAGATATCCTTTCCCTACTACATAGCTTTCACACCCTTGTCCAAGTTCTTCTGACTGTGCACATAAGGGTTTATTTCTGTAGCCTCTGTTCTATTTCATTAGTTCATATGCCGTTATCATACTATTTTACTGTAGTTTTACAATGTGATAATATCAAGAAGTGAAGCCTCCAAGTTGAGTGTGGTAGTACTCACTTGTAAACCTAACAGTCTGCATGGTTGAAGAAGGAAGATCTCAAGTTTAAGCCCACTCTGAACAACTTAGGATTTTAACAAGATCCTATCTTAAATAAAAATTTTTTAAAAAAGACAGTCTCCAGTGCTTCAAATAGCAAAACAAGAAGACCAGCAACTATAGTTCCACCATTCACTCCTCATTACCACCAGCACCATCGCCACTTCTTTCCTAGATTTTATTTTGCTATACATATTTTATATATATTTCAAAATTAAATTTATACTACATAATTCTACAGTCTACTTTTCATTCAATATTTTGTCATAAATATTTGACTGTGATTAAAAATTATGTGTAAACAATTTAAATTGCAATGATATAAAATAATTTGATAGTTAGAAATTAAGGTAGTTTTCCATTTGTTCTATAATAAATATAGACCCTATGGTAAATGCTCCTAAGTATACATGTTTGATCCATTTCTGGAATAGAGACTTTTGGGGTCAAGAGGAAGGAATATTTTTAAAGAGCTTTTGACACTATTAGAAAACTTTTTCAAAAGATTAAACCAATTCATATCCCTAGGGAGTAAGCATGCTTATTCCCTATATCCTTATTATCACTGAGCAATATAGCTTTTTAAATATTTACTAATTATATAGATGAAAAATAGTATATCATGTTTTTATTTTGTTTTTACTGCTTTCATGAAACTGTGAGGTAGAAACCAGAGTCTCATAAAATCTCCAGTCCAGTACATTCAGGTCATGCAAATACAGTGCTCTACTCTAACTTCATAATCAAGAACGTAAGTTTAAGCTTATGAAATATCAACAAATTTCAAACAATTCTATTCCAAAGCCATAAGAGGAGGCCCGGGACCTCATTTCTGGCAGCACAGGGTGGGTTGTAAGCTATGGAGAGCAGCCCCACAGAGTTAAACTTGTCAGCTTTCTGGTGTGTAGGGGAGCTAATGCAGTAAATGGGACTCCTTCCTTCCTCTGTTATTGAAGATGAAATAAAGTACAACCCCAGAGGCACTGTTCAGCTGACAAGGCACCTGGAAACAGAATTCTACAGCCTCCAGAGTTACACAGAAAAGAGCTGCTTAAGTATAAGTGTTTAAAGTTAACTCAAGGCTGATGCCCAGAAAGAAGAGAATTTGGGAAGAGTGAGTCAGAAGAAAATCCTCTTCTTCTTCATGGTAAGTTTAAATCTGGATACCTGCTAACCGGTGTCAAGTGAAATCCATATTTTCACATAGGCTTTGTCTCACCAGTGTTTGCTTTGGATTAGATGTCTTGCAGGCCACCATGGCACCATGAGGGATTTCACATGAACAGGGACTTCAAATGGTAAGTTCTGTATACCTGGGTGCTTTCAGGAATTAGTTCAAACTCTGATTTGTGGCCTTATAAGTTCAAACCCCTGACTTATTTTGATAAGACATCCAAAGAAACTTTGCCCCTTGGGCATCAGAGCCTCCATTAACCATGCCTGAAGAGAGTTGTATAGATCAGAACGGCAGTTCTTATACACATTTTTTTTTTTACCTGTAAGTGCCTTTATGTGCATAACCAAAAGATAACCAGAAAGGGTGGCCAAAAGCATGAGACTGAAACAGGCGAAGCACCTGAGAGTTTCCTCCAGCAAGAGTATCTGAGCCTCTGTGCACCACATCTGCGCTGGCCCTTAGCAGTGTACTTATCATCAACCCTGGGGCTCAGCACAGGCACTGACCTCTCTCAGGAGACTATCTACAGAGCCAGACATGTTTTCCACCCCATTTGGCTTATCCATACTTATTACATCCTGTGTTTTTACTTCAGTACTTATTATAATTAAATATTTTATATATCGAATTCTGTCATTTACTATCTTTCAGTAAGGCAGGAACAGGGGCTCCATCCACCTCGTTTGCCATTTTCTCCAGTGTCTAGCAGTATACCTTGTGTAGGTGAACCTTCCAGGCCTTGTTGGGGTGAGAGATAAGAATGTGAAGATCACATGTCCATCACAGGAACAGCCTTGCCAATGGGACTCCATTCCCCAAGCCAAGACTCTCTTGGTCTATAATAGCATCAGAAATGGGTAAAACCCAAATCTGTCATTTACTCCTCCTCCTTTGTGTTTCCATTACTGCCCAGACACTGCCCTCAGGCTCTTGCTTCAAACACTAAACACCTTTGGTTAGGTTAGTCTGGCCACAGTGGCTCCAGTGTCGTTTATTTGCTGCAACCATTTAGGGCACTGATGGTCTAAGTTAGCAAATAGTCCCTGTTATTTAAATTTCAGAGAGTGGCTCTACTCAAAGTTCTCAGAGATCATCACAGTCTCAACCCCATAACTGCCACATCACTGCTCCAGGATGCACCAAAGTCACAGGAGAAAGAAGTGTGTGCATGTGGGTGAAGCCTGTTGCTACTTCATAAATACAGAAGCTCTAAAATTGCATTCCTCCACACTCTGACTATTTCCCCAATATATGATATTAATTTGATAATTAAAAGCAGAACAAACACTGGCATGGAAGTCTGGGTGAGATCAAGATTGTTTTGAACCTGGCTCTGACAACAGTGTGACTATCAATGAGTCCTACATCACTATGGGCTTCTCTTGGATGAAGGAGTTGAACCAGATGACCACTTTAGTCTCTTCTGATCTTGACATCACATTATTCAATGATTAGATTTTTACCTAACAACTTCTCCCCAGCTTCATCAATATCCCAAAGACTATTCCAGCTACTAGAAATAGCTACCACACATATGGGGTCTGGGTGAAGTATGCTTCTAGGAATCATAGAGAAAGCTTGGGACTTTTACAATTACAAACGAAAATGTCAAAAGACATCTTCTTGGGACCCAGAATCAGCAAACATAGTAGACTTGTTGACCCTAGATCTTCTGGGTACTTGGCAAACACCACCTGGAGGACTGAGATGCCTGAAAGTTGATTACATCTAGTCCTTTAGTACATCGTTGTACAATATTTCTGTGAAGCAGGGTGTTTGCTGAAACTATTTTCCATATGTTCTTACCTTTCACAACCTTCACAGAAAGCAGTTTCCTCTCTATTTTTGATATTTGGGAGTTCATTCCCCCCACCTCAGCCCACAACCCACAGATCCAAACACAGATATTGCACTCAATGACTCTCCAACAGGAGGTCAGCTATTGTAAAAACTCACTATAATCTGTTCATAATTTAAAAAACCAGCCTCAGTTTTAATTAGCTGTATACACATCCAAAGTCATGCGTATGCTTAGAACTATGCTTAGTGTATATAGCCTGCTATATGTATAGCAGGTATATGTAAGCATAGTATATACACTATGCTTAGTGTATATAGCCTGCTTAGGGAGCTGGTATCATAGACGAGGACTTTCCTATTTGAAGGGAAATTACTAACAACACACAACCTTCCAAGGGCCTTGCATACCACACACACACACACGCACACACACACACACACACACACACACACACACATATAGACTGGTTTCTGCTGAAGCTACTGAAAATCAGCTTAGCCTAAAAGAGTGACTGTCATAGAATTTGTTCTACTAGCTGAAGTAGGATGTTTACAAAACAATAACCTTGAAGTTTGAGTGGAAGTGGCTTGGAACTTTGCCTCCCTACCTGGAGTAGTAAGACTCCACACCCAGGGCCTCACGCACACTGGTAATGTGCTGCTCCAGAACCGAACTGGTTGCTGTTGGCAGCGTGGCACTGCTCCCAGCCTGGAAGTCACTGGAGCTCTCCACCGCGTTGTCACCCAGGTAGTACTCGTGAAACTTCAGGATGCCTGAAATGAGGCAGGCACAGCCATTGTCAGACATAGTTGGGATGGCAGTAAGAAGGCTGGAAAGCAGGGATAGGAATGCTTTGTGACTTCTTTGTCAAACATTCCCTGTAAGGAAATCCCAAAACCTAAGATCCCAAGAGGGCTTGCTGAGCTGAGGTCAGTGCCTTTTTACAGCCTTTACCACTAGGTTTGGTGTCTGAAGCTCGGGAATTCAAGATGCAGCTTTTGCTTCTGATGATGTGTTCAGAAGCTAATCAGGACTACTTCTCCTATATTTCCAAACTGATGCTTTTCAGAAGCACCAGCCTTTCAGGATCAGTCCCTGAGTGTGCCTGGATAAAATGAAATCTCAGACAAAAAAATAATTAGCTAGGTAAAAATTGTATCACAAAAGACATTTCATAACAGCAAGTCAAAACAAACATGTAGTATAAGGGCCAAATAAATCATTTTAAGTAATTTTTAAATAAGATCAACTGGTCAATGATCATTAATGGATTAAAAGAGCAAAAAATGAAGGCCCTGAGAAATGGAAGCTATTCACAGTGGTTTTCTGGCAATAAACATAGGCTGTATTCTCAAACAGTAATGAGGTGTGTCAGCCCTGGAAAATGCTGGCCCTCTCTGATTGGATTAGAGGCTCCAGTGAAACCTTCAGAGTCTCATTAAAAGCAAAGAGGAACAAAAAAAGAAACAATAGCAGCCTCATTACACATGGCTCATTATTACAAGGATCTGGATATACCACCTGTCAAATCATGTCCCTAAGATGTAACAACAAAGAAAGAAAGAGTCTGACACCCCCCAGTTGTCAGCCTCTACCTCCTGTGTGCTGGTGCCCCTCTGGGAGTGGGGCTCCACAGGGGCTGACAATTCACTCACCAGGTCACCAATAAAACCACAACTTAAAACTTTTAGCATAAAAAGGCCAGAGATAAGAATGTCCTTTGCGGAAAACACATTAAAACATAGAAACAAAAGGACAAAGATTATAAACAATAATACTGAGACACAGATCACACAGGCACAAGGGCTCAAGCCCAAGAAGCATCTGGGAGCTGTCATGCAGCCATCATTTTTTTTTAAATCAAAGGGAAAGAAACATAATCAAGAAAATCTTGTCAATTCTCCCTGGCAGTTGAACTTTTTACAGATATTCAAGAAGGCCATTCTTCAAAATTCCCAATTATAAGATCCACTTCCCCAGTCAATAAACTCTAATTGGATCTGGTATGTCTCCAACATGGTAAAGCCATCAGCATTTTATTATGCAAAAAATATGGCCCTTACAGCCAATTAGTGGTTCTGTATTTAGTAAAACTGTTACATCCTGAACATTTAATGCCAATTTAATCAAAGGAGATTTTTACTTCTAAAACTGATTTTCAATAGAACTAGTTTAAAAAAGTTCTATTAAATTCAGAAATTTCAAGCTTAAGACTTATTTATAAATAGTGAGAACTGCCATTATCTTTTAGTTGCTTTAACTTCACCATGACAAAAGATCACAATTATTAAATCATATCTAGAAAAAACTCATTAAGACTTGCAGTCTTTGTTTATTAGCTAATGAGCAACAGCTGCCTACAAATGGGGTGGCGTGTGAAAGGTTAGTCTTCCTTGACAAATGCTCTCACATTCACTGGCAAAGAGTAATAATTTCTTGGGAGAGTGAGAAAGTGGGGGTGTCTTATTAACTGAATTCCCACAATAGCTGAGGTTTCACTGGAATCTGACATCAGTTCCCAAGTCTGGTCTATGACGATGCTTCTCCTGCTCTGCCACTGGATTTTCTTAGGGGCTGCATCTTCTCTGCCCAGTTCCCACCGTGATCTCACCTGCGCCAGGAGCAAGCAGCCAACTATACAGGTACCCTGCAGCCAAAGAGTAGTAAAGCACAAGTCCTCGCTGGCCATTAACCATCTCTAAGATCTGATCGATGGTAACTGGGGAGTAGGGGTCCGAGTCCTGTTGTCCTGTTTGTCGTTCCACCAGCAGGTCAGCAAATGCCCTTGTCCGACCTCTTTCTGCCACAGCTAGGGCTTCATCAAGGTGGCCTAGGAGACAAAAGTACAGGCTGAAGGAGTGCACTGTCAGCATAGCAATTCACAGAGGGCCATGGGGTATGGCCATCAGATTTTGGATAATGCCTCAAAAGCCTCTGCTCTGTAATATGTGACAGGTTTGCATCCACACTGTTGTTCACCTTTAACTCCCTACCTCTGTCGGTGGGTGCAGAGTTCACTCAAAGAACCTCACATGACCAGATTCAGCTAGACTTATTGCATGCCATCTAAGTCATTTGGCCTTCCTCTGCCTTGCAACCAGCACAAGAGCCAGCCTAGCTCACAGCACTGTGCCCAGCCCTGCCTGTCCTCTGCTCCACAACCCCAGCTCTTCCTGACCTGGTTTCAAACAACTCCTACTGGATTCATCTGGTTTTCTAGGTGCTCTGAGTTCTTTTCACTTTCCTGATCCCCAGTGATTCTCACCTGGAGTTGCCATATGAGATCTGTGGGATATATCTCCTAATCTTTCTCGCTACCCTAGATACAGCCCCTTTGGCCCCAAATTATAGCTCCAAGTCTTTACACACACCTGTGGCTCTCTTGGGGTACCTTCACTTTTCACTGCAATTGTCTCAAAAAGGAGGAATTGTAATAGCTGTGCCACCTACTTTCAAGGACTGCTGCAAAGATTAAGTGATCCCTCTATACCAATATGCCTGGCAGGTGTTGTCTGTAGACAGGTGGTACCGTTGCTGTTACAATCCTTACTCATTCCATTCTGGGCTCCCACATACTTTCTCCTCTTCTAGTCCCTATGGGCAGCGAGCTGAAATTCTCAAATTGCTATTCCTTTAAAATTTCAAGCAGAGTGTGGCAGCACATGCCTGCAATCCCAGCACTCAGGAGGCTGAGGCAGAGGATTGCCATGAGTTCAAGGCCAGCCTGAACTACATAGTGAAATCCTGCCCTCCCACAAACAAAACAAAACAAATAACTTCCTCTTTTAAGCTTTTCCTTAATCTTTCAATCCAACTTCTACTCCAATGTCCTCTAATAAACTAGTCTGTAATTTAGTTTAAAATCTGGCATACTTATGTAAAAACACACAAAAAAGAAAGCTGTCAACTTTCAAGTGGGGAATGTTTGTAAGTGCTGAAGGAGGACAGTGCAGAGGATTAATGTGCATCATAAATATAAATACAGAGGAGTTGGTAGAACTATGCCCCAAAGAGAGCAGGCAGAAGCAGGAGCTCTGACTACGCTTCCAGAATGACTCCCTTCTTGCATTCCAGCATCGGTAGAAAGAGAATTTCTCAGAGGTTATGCAAATGTATGATTTTACTCTATTAAGTTATTAACTGGAACAGCAGGGACAATTTCTGTGCACATTGGAAAATTGGTCCCAAAGTGCTAGACAAACTTAACACTGTGATTATAGTAGATAATAAATTATAATCCCAGGAAATGAATACATTTAATTCTTCAAGGGGAAACTTGAGTATTCCTATATGTACAGCAAAGAATATGTTATTGAAAAGGCTTCTGCATCCAACTTGAAAGACTTCGTGTCTGTGAATACCTTCTGGGAAGATGCAAGTAATAGAAGCTAGAAAGGACCGAGTGTGATAATTAAGGCCAAGGTAAAGGAGGGAAACTGCAGGCTCTCCAGTACCATGGAACATGCAGGTCTGGGAGGATGATCTCTGACTGCGTGTGTGTCACAGTTCAGGGGACAGGCCAGAGGATACAGACCTTTTCAAAATGGCAACACTGAAGGAAGTGTGGCTGAGAAAACAGAAAGGGGCCAAATACCTTCTTAGGGACATGCCCAGAGTCAGAGGCTTGAACCAGGTGTTAGTGGAGCTGAGAACAGGTACGGGAACACCTGAGTCAGGTTTCTAGGCCTCCTGGCCAGGCTGCTTTATTTCTCAGCATCTGAGTTTTTCTATCTTAGCACCTGCTGAATTACACTGGACTCACTGACTCTTACCACTTGATAGGCAAAGACTACTTTAATTATAAACCCTTAGCACACAGTAGGCGCTCTGCCAATCTTTCTTGAATAAATTAACAGGTATTCAACAGAGGACTGTGATTTCACAATCTAATGTGACAACAAACCACACTTCACCACAGCCTGTGCATGCAGATGCCCCCGCCTCACCCCCATGAGTGCAAGAATCCCTAAAGCCTCTCACCCAGGCTGACCAGCACCCGCTGCAAGGCCTGGTAGGATGAAGTCTGCAGGTCAAAGAGGGAGAGCTTGTAGTCTGTGCTCAGCTGTGCCTCGTGCCGGATTGTTTCAAACAAGGCTGATGCCCTGTAGAGCTGTAAGCAGAGGTGGAGAATGTGATTGTTTCCCAAAACAAGAAACAGCTGATTAAGACTAGTGATGATTTTTTTTCTCATACTTTAGTGCAAAACCTAAACATTTTTTTAGGTTTGAAAGGTGGGCCTTGTGGATCTGAAGGGATGTCACATCATCCCCAGTAAATTATACAATCAATTTTTGTTGACTGATAAGAACTAAAGACTAGGGATATAGACTTATGGTCTGAAGGATATTTTTAAAAATTAGCTATTGATACAAACAAGTTTTGTATTTTTCTTTGCATTGCTGGCAATGGAACCAGATTTTGCGCTTGTTAGACAAGTGCTCCATCACTGAGCTTCACCTAAGCCATTTTTATTTTATTTTGAGACAGGGTCTCACTAAGTTGCCCAGGCTGGCCTTGAACTTATCATCCTCCTGCCTCAATCTCCCAAGTAGCTGGGATTACAGGTGTGTGCCACATCACCTGGCTAACAAGTAAAAGTTTGATTAGAACAAAAAGCTTTCTTCTTGTTATCAATTGACTATCACCATTACCACCAGGCCTCAGAATGTGGAAGGATAAAGACAGACAAGGACAAGAGTGGGGATAGGTGTAGCAGAGACGTCCTGGAGATAGATGAGGTCAGGGTAACAGCAAAAGACACCTGGCTGGAGGTGGGCCAGCACTGTGGAGCCCAACCATCATTGCCCTCTGTAGGGACAGGTCTTTGGTGGTAACATGGACACCTTCAGAACAGACAGACATGTGGGCTGGGAGGGCAGTGACTGGCAGTCCTAACAGAGACCCTTTCCCTGCTGCTCTAAATTACACACAGTAAAAAAAACTCCAGAAGACTACAACAGTGTGGCCAGGAGAGAGCTCAGAGAGAGGAACATGCACCTAACTCTGCCACTGATTCGCCACATGAATTTTGGAGACTCTGAGCCTTGTTTCTTTCCCTCAACAGAGGGGGCAGTTATCACTTAATCTCACAGAGCATTTTGAGGTATGAGTAGAAGCACTGTAAAATTTGTGAATCAGTACATCAATACACAAGAGGTGACTGAAATATATGATGTATGTTTAAATTTTTAAAATTACCACAGAGACACATTGTCATTAATGCCCCTCAAAATATTCCCCCTTGCTCAAACACATTTATTTCATGGTTTTCACCACCATTTGAAGCAGTTCCAAAGTCCTTTTTTTCTTTTGGTACAGGGATCAAACTCACAACCTCATGCTTGCCAGGCAGGCACTTACACCATTGAGTTAAATCCCCAGCCCTTGTAAGTTGTTTTTCATGAGTGTCTTTCAAGGTATGATCAAATCCAATAGAGTGCCATCCAATAGAAAGAGAGGCTCTTAAAAACGTTAGTGTGTCCTCAACCACTTTATCCATTAGGTCTGGCACCATGGACTTCTGGTTACTCTCAAAAGTCAAGTTGAACATAAGAGATGTCTTAGTATCTTTTTTCTCATTGTTGAGATAAAATAAATGACACCCAAAGTTAAAAGAGGAAAGGGTCATTTAACGCGCAGTTTGAAGAGGTTTCAGTGCATAATCAGCTGGCTCCAAGGTATGGTGGGCTTGGAGACCAGTCATGGCATGCAGAAAATAGCAAAGCAATGAGCAGGTGAGACACGACTCTTTTTCCCATTGTATTTAGACTGCTGGGATCAGGGTGGTGCCAAGCCAATTAGTGGATTTAGCAATCACACTCCTTTAATCATAATATCACACACTACATTTAGCCACCTCTGAAAAAAGCCTAAAGCTATATGAGGTTTTGGGGGGACATCTAGACACAAACCATAGCAAAAGGTTAAAGATTTTCAATTAATTCAGGACATTGAGGCAGCCATGATGGTGTAAATAAAGCTACTCACAGAGAAGGACTTCTAGAACTGCTTCAGAAAGTGGCAAGAACAGTGTGACAACTGTGTTCAAAGCAAGGGGGAGTGTTCTAGAAGGCACTGATAACAATATGTGTTTTATGGTAATATTTTTAAAACCATATTTATTGATTATATCTCATATATTTTAATTTTATAGCCAGGATAGTATAGAATTATTTAAATTGACTTTACTAGTTTTAAAAATATTATAAAATATCCTAACATTTCAGGATGCTATGGAACAATTTAGTCATGTCATATCCTCAACTCTTGTGAGCATCTCCAGAGAGGAACCCCACTGTGGTCTCATCCCCTGTCCATCTAGCATCAATGCCACAGTGATCACTCAAACATGAGCTGGCCAAGTGAATCAGTAGTCACTTCAGTCAATCCTCTAATGTAACGAAGACATCTGTAACTCTATGGATCTCCCTAATCTCTGAGGTTAGGATGGCAAGGGACTGCCCGTAAGCTCTTTCTGTACATGCAGCAACACACACACACTGTAAGAGACAGGGAGAGAGAAGTTCTACCTGTTGTTATAACAGAGATCTACCAAGACATTCAATCCAAAAATTATGTACTTTTGTTTTACCTCTGTATGTTGATTTCATAGTGAAGTTTAATGTAAAGTAGCAGCTGACAGTACAAGAATTCCAGAGACATTATTGAGAAATTTAACACTTGAGTGAACAAGAATCTCTACTGATGTGAAAGCTCAACACTTCTAGGTTGGTGCAGGCTGGAAATCCTGTGTGTCAACCCATAGGAAGAGGTCAGCATGTCTGATAAATGTCATCAATACTGAGATTATCACTCTCAGGTCTTTCACATTTCTGGGAAAAAAACTCCCCTTGGGCCAAGATGCTCGTGCTCACCTGGTGTTGGGCCTCCTCCAGGTTTCCACTTGCCCAAAGGGATAGGCCAAGACCATGGCGAATTTTTGCTTCATCTTCTCTTCGGCCTAGTTGCTCAGCTAACCTTAATCCTGAAACCAGATAGAGAAATGTAAATAAACATAAAAGACAGATAATTCCTGTCTTATCCTGCTGATGAGTCCTAGAAGGTAAGTTTGCTTTGAGTATATGTCAAGAATGTTAACAACCCCACTAGGGAAATAGCAGGATGAGAGCCAAATTAGGCAAGACAAAATAAGCATTCTTTTTAAACCCCATGGTTGGTAGCCACATTTGCAGAACACTCAGAGATGTCCCAGTGAGCGCTTCAGTGATGGTTATCATCAAGAGTCAGGTTTGCAGGGCAGGTGAAAACACTAAAACAAATGAACCTTAACCTGATGCCCTCCCAGATGTGAAATCCTTAGCTTTGCAAATAAAAACTGCTGGCTGATAAATTCATCTATTCTTAATCTTTAGTTGGCAAAAGCTTTTTCTAACAGTCAAGTACAGAAGCTAAGATAACACTTCTTCCTATCTCATTGCACAACACCCAATCAGTGCTGATGAGGGACACACGATGCACTTCTGAAAGCAGAACGTGCATGAAGCTGACCCTGCTGCTGTTACTGATACTTCTGACACATCCCATGCTCTATCTGCTTTTTCTGTTAAAGCCTGAACTTTGATGCACCTCAGTGGGGTTACATTTAAGTCGAAAGCCTTAAATGAAACTGTCCTCATTGTAATAGCCTTCAGATAGAAACCTGCAGTCTGGGTCACTTACCCACAGCAAGCTTCTGGGTTTCAGGACACCAGCAGCCTCCGGGGCTTTGTGTGAGTTACAGCTGAAGGCAATCATTTATTGTATTGGTCACTAAACTGTTCTTAGCACCACTTTACCCTCATTATCCTGCTATCTGTGGAGAGAAGTGAGCTGGTTCAGAAGCCAGCCAGCACAAAGGCACACACACAAAGAAAGGGTTTCCTTCTGATCTAAGTCAGGGGTCTGGGAGACATCTCTAGCATGCTGGGTCTGTGCAATTCCTGCTTTGAAAAGTTAACAGTCACTTGAGAGGCTAATAAGAGTGTTACTCAGTTCAAGCTTATAAAATATTATGCATTTCAAAATGCATGTAATACAAAAAAACTTAAAAAGAGCATTTTAAGTTTAAATTGTGTCCTTGGGTAACACAAGTAATACTTGCAAACAATTCACCCTTTCAAACACTTCACAGAATGAGAACACACATGAAAGATGTTATTTCTTGAGAGAAAACCAAAAGGGTAATTTCAACAAACTAATGAGATTGATTTTTTTTTAATGTAGACATCCCTAACTGATCTCAGTTTGTAAGTCAGAAATAAAAACCTACAAACCAAGCCTTCCTTAGAGGGCATGAACTGTGAGAATGGGGACTTTGCTTGGATGTGGCTATATTCCCAACATGTAAGCCATCAGCTGGCCACTACGTAGAGGCTCAGAGAGGACATGGTATCTGACCCATCCCGCACATTTCTGGGTTGGCCTTTAGGAATCTGACTTACCCATTCAGGTCTCTCAGACTGATTGCAGAACTTCAGGTAAATCACTAAATTGCTGCAGTCTCCCTTTCTTTATTTGCAAAATGAGAACTGGGCAAAACTAAGTTCTTTAGCCAGAGGTAGCCATTCAAAATTACCCAGAAAGCTTGTTCAAGGAGATCTGAACAATTTCAACCAAGAAATTACATTGTACAGGGAAAGGGGTAGGGGTACTAATTAGCAGCTACTCGCCGCTGGAGACAGGAAAAAGCACTGGGGTGACTTCCATCAGAACCACTCCTTCCACTGCAAGATGTGTCACACTCAACTTAGAGCACTCAGAAAACACTTTCCAGCTCACAGCTCATGAGCAGATATACGCGGTTTGGCCACCGAGGGACATAAGGAACTGGCTGCAGGATGTCATCACACAGCAAACATTGTGGAGATGCTATAAGACTTAAAAACTATAAGAAACAAAAATGAACTAGAGGCTTTTTAATAACTATTGAGTTATGTTACAATGTCTTGGGCAACTGGCTGGTGCATAGAAACACTATCTCAGGAAGCAGAAAAGTTGTCAGATGCTGGATCTGAATTTAATAATTTTCACAAATTCAACTTAGAAAATCATCCATAGATTGCAGGAATTTTACTGAAGTTAAGTTTCAGGAAACCCAAAGCTACCAGTCATATTCAGTGAATTGAGGCAGAGCCCCTCATAGACTAGGAGCCAAACAAGGCTTAGGCAGGGGCTTGCAGCCTTCCTGGACTTCTCTGCTCCCAGGTTGGTGCCATGCCTGGTCTGCACAGAGGACAGTGAATCATCAGGCCTTTGTCCATTCTCTACTTGGCTTCCCAGCTGGGGCTCAGGAGTAATGAGGAATCTGTTCTTGTGTGATTGGAAGTAACTGCATACAGGGTCTCATTAGGTTCTTGGAGTCAGAGCACCCAGGTGGAGCTCCACCCTGAGTAATTAGCCACATGGTCAGGAAACAATTGGAACATGACATGTGTTGCACTTCTCTGAGCTTCCAGTAACTAAGTTGAAAAATGAGAATAAAAAGATATATTTTTCCCTTAATCACAGCACTCAGGAGGCTGAAGCAGGAGGATTGCTGCCAAGTTTGAGGCCAGGCTGGGTTATGTAGTGAGTTCAAGGCCAGCTTGCACTATAACGCAACACCATGTTTCAAAAAGAAGAGAGAGAGAGAGAGAGAGAGAGAGAGAGAGAGAGAGAGAGAGAGAGAAACATATCTCTCAAGTTTAGTTTAAGAATTAAAACAGATTAAATAAATTATATATGCAATTTGGAAATTACACTAGAGTTTTTGCTTGAAATCAGTAACCATAGCCTTGTCCTAGGAGCTCAGAACAGCAAGTCTACATCTACCCCCTCATCTGGGGGTATCCAGTGTGCCTGCGGAGGGTTCCCTCGAGCCAGGGGCCAAGACTTGTTTAAAGAGGTGGAAGGCAGGCAAACTTCTGTGACATTTCTGCTTTGGGAGAAGGGAAGCACCCAAGGACCAACTATACAATTATCTGTGCACAGATAATTGATGGAACTTGATAGCAAAACCTGATAGAACTTGATGGAAGAGGAAGAGAAGTATCCAGTTGCCAGTCTGCTTGGAACAAGACTCTATCATAGGGGCTGGAGATTTAGCTCAGTGGCATAAGCACCTGCCTGGCAAGCATGAGGTCATGAATTCAATCCCTGGTACAAAAAAAAAAAAAAAAGACTTTACCAGGGTAATAAGCCCTGGTAAGGAACCCTAGTTGAATACTCAAGTGACTCTCAGATGAATGCTTATGGGTTAGACTCTAGCTATCATATCAGAAGTGATGTCCATAAAGAAATATTTTTTGGGTCTTTTTGAGACAGGGTTTCACTGTGCAGTTCAAGCTGGCCTTGAATTCACTTTATAGCCAAGGCTGACCTCTAACTCACAGTGATTCTCCTGCCTCAGCCTCCTGAGTTTTGGGATTACAAGTGTATGCTACCATGCCTGGCCATCGGTACAATTTTGATCTGATTTAGATATTGTCAATGCAGACAACAGAATTTGGAAAAGATGATTTTGTACCTCTGATTTAGACCCTTACAATGATTAGATCTTACTTGATTCAGTCTGTGTGACATGTGTTGTTCACTCAGTTAAAGTGTTCTGAAAACAGAGTTATCAGTTCCTTGGGCAATCATTAACAGTAGATGCTGCCACTGAGAAAGATGACCTGAGTCCAGAGAAGTGGGTAAGATATTACAGAAAATCAAACACCTTATTTTTATCTGTAGACATAGTTGATAAAGGCAACTGCGATTCTGGAATTGAAATGACAGTGTGGCCTCTGAGACACTTACTCCACATAGAGGTGGCCACTCAAACTGCATATTTGTCCCCAAGTCTTAAGAGACCATAGCAGGCCTTCCTACCTACCTTCCTGTAAGTACATGACCGCCTGGGAATAGTTCTGCAAGGCATGATGGGTCCTTCCAAGGCTACTATAGGACACTGTCTTGGCCACTAAGTCGTTCATCTGTGCAGCGATGCTCAAGTGCTGTTCTTGGTAGACCACAGCCCTTTCAAAGGTGCCCAGGGACTCATATGTCAGGCCCAGGTTCCCATAGGCTCGCCCCTGGCACGTAGGGTTATTAGTTTCCTCGGCTATCTGCAGATCAAGCTGGTGGTACTGCAGGGCTGTATCATACTCCCCCATCTGCTGGTAGACGCCCCCCAAGCCACAGGCTGCATCACTCTCCAAGGCTCGGTCTTTCATCTCTCTAGCAATGTTCAGCTGGCGTTCAAGGCAGGAAATGGCTTGTTCATAATTCCCTAATTGGCTGTGCAGACTTCCCAGCTCTCCATAGGCCTGGGCTTTATTGAAGGCCTCCCCAAGTTCATGGGTGACCACAAGCCTCTTTTCAAAGCACACAAGGGCTTGCTGCAAGCTCCCCATTGCCCTGTGGGGATGTAGACAGAAAAGCAATGATATTATTTCGTGCAGGTGCAGACATGCTAAAGCCCCTGAGAAAATGAAAAGCATTTGTCACTGTCACTTACTATAGAAGCTCTTAACTCCTCTTCTAGCTAAAATCTATCATGTGCCCTTAGAGTGAGATGCAGAGGAATTTCATAATCTGGAAAGCAATTCAAAAGTCATCCCTTAGTGACCTTCCCAAGAGCTTGAGATTCAATGGGATATATACCCCAGAGGAAACATAAAATATATTAATAGGCACAATGATAGCAAGTGAACTGTTTGGTTCTTCAGGCCTCCCAATTTCCACTGCTGCTTAGACTATGTTTTTGAAATCACTTTACAGTAGCTATAAATCTTTCACCCTGAGCTTCTTAGAGCACTATGTGGGTGATGATTTAGTTTGACCCTTGCCCTTCCTCCACTCTAGGAGCCCCAATCCCTTCCCTGTCTGGTGAGGCCATATATTCTGCAGACACAGGCACCTTCTTCAGTTCCCCACATTTGGGACAAAAGCATCCTCTGGCGGACAGTGTGTCTTTTTATGCTGTTCAGAGCTGACATGATCAGAGTAGAAAGAGCATGGATTTTGGCGGCAAACCAAACTAGTTGTATAGGCACACACATTTCTTTCCCTAAACCTCAATTTCTGGTGATAATAAATCCCCCATCCCATAGCAGCTGATAGATCATCTTGTACAGTAACACAAGATTGCTGAAACTATTAAGATACCTATGCAAGGAGCCTAGCATGATGCATAGAATACAAGACAGGCTTATTTGCTCCCTCAATTATCAGGTAGCTTTTCCGAAAAGCAACACAAGGAGGGTCCAAGTAAACGGAGTGTCCCAATGTTGTACTAATAAGCATATTCATAAAATATTGAAGGTATTCAGAAAAGATCAGTGATGCACCTTCCTATCTCTGTTAACTCTTTATCCTTCTTATTTTAAAGTAGTCATGAAAGTTCTGCATTTGGAGACAGAGAGCCCTAGGTTTGATCCTCAGCTGTCTCTTTTAAACCTTTTAAACTGGGTAATCTTAGGTATTCACCTAACCACTCTGGGTTTTAGTTTCTTTTTTTGAGAACACAAGAGTAATAATATTGCTTGACTAATTCAAAGGCTTACTGGAGGAATCTAGTGAGATATGTACAAAAGTGCTTTGTAGTTAATAAATTGCTTTGCAGATGTGTAGTTGCTATTACTGTTGCCCCTGTTCTTCTTGCAGGTTTATCTATCTCAATTGTCTTGTCATTTTACCTGTGTCCATTTCCTAGACCCCGGTAAGCCTTGGCTTGGTCTTGCATACGATTCAGACTCTGGGCAACAGATAAATACTGCTCATAGTATTTGATGGCTTCCTCATAGTCACCCAGGGCCTCATAGCAATCCCCAAGGTTGCCATAGGCCCGGCCTCTGTCGAGCACTGACTCATTCCCACTGAGCTGCTGTAGCATGGCCAACTGCTGCTCAAAATAGCCAATGGCTTCTTCCATCACGTTCATATTCATCTTTGTGATACCCATGTTGCCATAGACCTGTGCTTCTAGACTTGGATCCTTCAGCTTCTGCCCCAGGTCTAGCTGCTCTTCGTAGCACTTGAATGCCATTGTGTATTTTCCCAGGGCCATGTAGACAGCAGCCAGGTGCCCATGAGCTCTGCATTCACCTGGCAAGTCACTCAGCTCCTGATATACCTCTAGTTCCTGTGTGTGATAACCTAAGGCCTTGTCATACTTCTGGATCATTCGGTATGCCGTGCCCAGTGCTGCATATGCACTGGCCTCCAGTCTTCTGTCCTTTACGTGGTGAGCTAAGCTCAGCTGCTGCTCATAGAATTTTATTGCACCATTTATATCTTTTTTACAAATGAATATATCACCTAAGTTCCCTAGGGCTCGAAATTTAGCCTGGGAATTATTCAGGGACTGAGCTAGGGATAACAGGTACTTCTGACACTCTTCAGCTTTGCTGAAATTCAGCAGAGCCTTGAATGCTAGGCCTAAGTTGCAGTAGGCTTTTGCTTGGCTCAATTTATCATGAAGGTCTTTGGCCAGGGCCAGATCCTGCTCATAGTACTTTACTGCCTCCTGATAATTTCCAAGGCAATAATGGGCATAGCCAAGATTGTGGCAGACCTTCCCCTCTCCTTCCATGTCTTGAAGGTCAGGAGCCAGCTGGAGATACTGTTCATAATAGGGAGCAGCCTGGTCATACTCTCCCCTAGAGCAGTGGAAGTTTCCCAGGTTGCTGAGGGCCCGGGCCTCGCTTTGGATGTCTCGAAGCTCCCGGGCAATGTTCAAGTGGTTCTGATAGTGCTGCAGGGCCCGGTCATGGGCACCCAGGGCCTGGTACGCCACTGCAAGATTCCCATGTGTAGATGCTTGTGAGGCACGGTCATTAACCTCCATGGAGATCTGCAACTCCTGTCGGTGGTACTTGACCGCCTGGTCATACATGCCCAGTGCGTTGTAGGCATTTCCCATGTTCCCATAGGCTCGACCCTGGGCAGCATAGTCGCTGAGTTCCTGGGCAATGCACAGGTGAGTCTTGTGGAGTTTCAGTGCTGTATCATAATCACCTTTCATCTGGTGTATGATTCCTAAAATACAGAATGGCAGAACAGAAAAAGATGAGTCATTTAGGAAAAAAATGTCATTTTCCACTTGATTTATAGTAAATACAACCCAGATGGATTAAAGAATTTAAAATAACAGAAGGTAGAATTAAATATTTATCACTTCTCCAGAAAAAGGGTAGCTTTCTAAGCTTCAAAATAACAGAGAAAATAATCAACAGATTTGATTACAAAAATGTGAATTTTTGTAGTATAAATATCTGAAAAGAAAAACACAACACTGGAAAATATGTTAATTATATATGAAAAAGTTTAACAGCTATTGTGAGTAAAGATTTCATTCAGTTTTACTTAGAAAAAAGAAATCAAAATCCCAATTTATTAAAACAGGCAAAGAACTATAAATGTTAGCAGACAACTCACATCCAAAGAAATACAAAGAGTAACCATAGGGAAATGCTAATTTCCTTTAATAATCCAAGAAATACAAAATAAGAACCCTGAAGTACCATTTTACTACTACTAAATTAACAAATAAGAATTTTAAACACTCTCTATACTAATGAGGTTGCCCTGAAACTGGTGAACATATCAATTGCTAGATATATAAGTAGGAATAATCTCTGAACAAGAAGCCTGGGGAGAAGTACCAATGTGGCCTGGTCTGACCCACAGTCTGGCTCAAGGGAAAGCATCCTAAGAGATCAGCCAGCAGGCACACAAGCTAATGGATAACAATCTTCACTGTAGCATTATACATGAGTGGAAAACCATGTAATGCCAAACTCTGGGGGCACTGCATGAGCACATTTTGGCATGTCAACTCAATAGAGGATTATGCAGTTATTAAAAAGGTAATTATGAAGACTATGCAGATAAATGGGGTAAAATATTCTTACAATGAAATTAACTGGAGAAAGCAGGAAACAATGCTGCGTGCTCAGAGTGACAACTAGGAGGATGAATGTGCGCACATGGACAAGACCTGCAGGGGAGTATGCAAAGTAAAAAATAGCTGTCTTGCTAGGTGAAGGAATTTGAGTGATTTTTCTTCCAAGATTTCTTGTAATTATGTAATATTGCTTTTACAGTAGGCAATAGTAGTGCTTCAAGCACTCTCATAAACTATGCTATTGCTATGAAGCTAAACTACTGTTTTTACAAGCAGTTCAAACTGAGGTCTATGATACATATCTTAAACATCAAGTACTGTAGTTCCAAATGAGGGATGTCATGAAGATAACTTGGAGTGGGGGCCCTTTTTAAATATGGAGGAACCCAGTGTGCAAACAGACTCCTTGCCTTTGGTTTTAAACACACTTTTCTGTGGGCATATGAGCTTTTCAATGATGACCCACAGAAACACAAAAACTCAAAAACACCAGGATGGAATACTATGATAGCATTAAAAAGAGTGAATTATGTATTAACATGGAAAGAAATTTATTTTAAGGGACTATGTCACAAAACAATACATTTTAATAACTTTAATAGAGTACTGTATACACATTCATGTTTACGCCTGTACATATAGCATAAAATTTATGTAAATGTTAATAGTAGTAATCTTTGGTTGGTGGGATTTTAGGGTGTTTCCTTTGTCTTATTTTTAAGAATTTTTTATAATGGTGCTGGGCGTTGGTGGTCCATGCCTATAATTCCAGCAGCCAGGAGAGGCTGAGGCAGGAGAATCACTGTGAGTTTAAGGCCAGTTTGGGCTACAAAGTGAGTTCAAGTCCAGCCTGAATTAGACCTGAACTTAAATAAATAAATAAACAAAATTTCTTATGATGGACACATAACTCTTGGTTTAAAAACAGTTTTTCTTAACAAAACAAAATACTTCTGATCCAACTAGAGAAGTAGCATTCCTGGGGATTGACATTTACATCTCTAAAATGGGGGTCAAAATATCTGCCCATTCCAGAGTCGTTGGTAAAGGCCGAGTCTGAGCTGGGGAGAGCAGCAGGAAGGCCTGGATCTTCTCATAACTCCTTTTCCCACTCTGAAGCCTTGGCAAAGATTGTGCCCTTTTGCTTTTTTATTTTTTTGCAATGACTTATTTTTTCAGTATCCAGGGTCTTGGGCATGCTAGGCAAGCATTTCACACCTCCTCACACATACCATTGTTTCCGGGGGACTTACATTCTCAGTCCTTTTAAGATTTTTTATTTTGAGTCACGATCTCACTATCTTGCCCAGGCTAGCCTCAAATTTGAGATCTTCCATTCTTAACCTCCCAAGTAACTAGGAATCCCCAGTAGCTATAAAGACAGACGTGTTCCACCACACCTGCTTATGATGAGGTTTTTTGTTTTGTTTTGTTTTTTGGTCTTTTTGAGACAGGGTTTCACTATGTATTTCAAACTGGCCTTGAACTCCCTTTGTAATCCAGGCTGGCCTTAAACTCACAGTGATCTTCCTGCCTTAACATCCTGAGTGCCAGGATTACAGGCATGCACCATCACGTCCAGCCTACCATGATTTTTTTTAATTCAACAGAATCACATGTTGGTTTCTAAAATGATAAGAGGAAGCAAGGGATGAGAGGCTTACAGAGAAGCAGTCAGAGGCTGCTTGGTTTTCATGTATGCCTTCCTCCACCATGACCAAGGCCTTAGGAGCTCCCTACCCACCTATAAGCTCAAGCTGTGCCCCATCCTACAGCGAACTGGCTAAGTGTCAGGAAGGCACACTATAACAGAAAAGGTACAAGATGTTAGTAAATATCCAAAGTCTTTTTTAACAAGCCTCTGGCTCCCTTTGCATTAGTCACTTAACACTTGTGAGTGTTTGCTTTTTTGTTGTTGTTTATTTTTTTAAAAATTTTTTTAAGTCTTTGGCTCTTTTGTTTTCTTAATAATACGGTCAGGTCACACTCATTTAAAATAAATTATTTGACAAACATACATAATATGCTCTGTAAACTATGTTTGACATGGTATTTACAGAGTGAGAGAAAATGAAGGAATTGTTTCTCTTGCTCGCTGCATCTGGGCTGGTTGACAGGGAGCAGTTGGGATAGCAGTGGCTACCCAAGGCTCAGAGATCAGCGAAGACAACTGCCTGCTGGTTACAGCAAAATGATCTGATCGCCAGCCAGCTTCTCAGGCACTCTCTGTCTTCTGTGGTTATCTTCTCATCTTACCTTTCTATGTGCTTCTAAAGAATCAGAGCGGAATGCCCAAAACAAGGACTTCTTAACGCAGACAAGGGTGAGAGAAGGTAAATGTGGCTGAGCTGGGCAATATTTCATCTGCCCTGTGTCCCCACCATCCCAGCAGCGGCTGCCAGCCTGGAGAATCCTGACCAGAACATTACACACTCTTGGCAGCCTTTCTCTTTGTTGAGGCAACATAAAAGCAGCCCGAGAGCTGCCAGCAGAGTGGCTGCACATGCTGAGGAGATAATCTGCAGACCCTCCTTCCCTTTAGAGACCACAGCTTGATTTTCCAGGGCCATCACTCAGATGAAGACTTACAGAGGGCTTGTCAGCAGGGGCGCACTAGGTGACAACGGGCTGCAGGGAGGGGAATTAAATGAAGATTAGTGGGGCAGAAGATCCTCACAAAGACGTGTGGAGAAAAGAAACCTGGCTATGAATTTATACATCACCTCAGCAGGCCTCCACCTCAGGGTCACTGCCATGGGAGTAGTCACGCCTACTTCAAAGGGCTGTGATGGGGGCCTGGGAAATGGTGCTGAGAAGTGGCTAGCATAAGAGCTAGGACATACGAAGTGCTTGGTACTGTTTGCTTATATGATTAACTACTGCCAGCAGAGACCTAGGGAGGTGGGACTAGGGCAAACCACGCTGAAAAGAATGCTACTAAAAGTAGAACACGGCATTTTGCTGGGAGTTCTACTTGCCTTTTCTCTTGGGAATTCTTTGAAAGAAGGGCCTCGGTGACTTTCACAAACAACGGAAAGTCTTTTCTCATTTACTGGGAATGTTACTGCTGTGATTACTAATAATGCACACCCAGTGGACCTTTAGGAACTGACCTGTTCTTTTCCTCTGGCTTCAAGCAAACCAAGTTCTGCTCCACCCATACCAAACCACCAGCAATCCTCAGAGGACACACAGGGTCTGAGCACTTGAACTTAGTAAATGACATGAGCAAGGCTAGTAAGAGGAGGTGAGTGGCAGTTTTGAGGCAAGACCTCTTAGACCCCGGTACCCACAGCTGTACAAACCTGCACACTTCCCAACAAGCAGGGGGCAGGAAGAAACTGCTCTTAGTCATGCTAGGTGTGATGAAATGGCAGCTGTGCCTTATAAGGTTATCAGTCAGAAGTACATATGGAAGTATTTATAAATGAAACAGCATGGTGTCTATGGTTTGCTTTAAAAATACTGTGGTGCAGTAGTAGAGAGGAAGAGTGAGAGCATATATGTTTATGAAAATAGATAAAACGAGATTAGCAAATGTTAATAATTTGGCTATGAGTATGTGGGGGTTCATTATACTGTTCTATGTGTGAAACCTTCCATAATAGAGAGTTAAACAATACAGATGGGCAGAGATGGGCACAGAGTGTTCAAGGGAAAGTCGCCACGAGGATCCATTATCCTCACCCTAACCTTCTTACCTTCCTGGATCCTCTCTTTCTCTCAAATTTTCATGGAGTTTTCCCACATTGTTTGTTGTTGTGCAGTATTGGCACTGGAACCCAGGGCCTTTCAACTGAGCTTCATCATCAACTTTTTATTATTATTATTAAAATTTGAGACAGGGTCTCTGCAATAAAAAGGGTTGGGAATCTAGTTCAGAGGTACAGCATTCCTGGGCTCAATCTCGGGTGCCAGAAAAAAAATACCGCAAACTTGGGGGAAAGGAGGAGGGGCAGACTGGGTTAGTAAATAGATGCCTGGAACCAAAGGCAAAGTACTTTGTGCTAGAAGTGCAACCAACTAGATGTTTTATCTAACACATTTTCCAATGAATATTTATGTCTGGAGAGAAGTACCTATGATGTTTTATAAGAGAAGACAGTAAGAATGTACTTTTTACATAGCAGATAACTGGAAAATTACTTAACATAATAACATCAGCTACAAGCATCTTCTAGATAGGTAAGCTCTTCTAATAACCCTCACTGTGCTTGGCCTTCTACTCCACAGTCTCATTGGTACCTGAAAACAGTCCTGCAAGGTTGTGTTGTGGTCACAGAGACTTAGATGCTTCCAGAATTTACTTAGGCACTCGGAGGTCTAAGGGCAGCTTTGGCCCTGCACCTACCTGACTGAGGAGCCCACACTCTGCCTGATGCCCTGCTTCACCCTTGTGGCTAAAGGTAGATATGATTCTTGCCTATTTCTTCTCTATCAACGTTAGCACACTGCTTTGTGGCAAACTAAGCCGTGGCAGGTATATGTGAACAGAGTAATGGTATGGCTAAATCTGTATCCAGGGAGCAGAGAAGTGTACATTAGAGACCAGAAAATCTTAAGAGACTTAGGGCTGAAGGAAAAGCAGCAGATGTAATCACACCCATGGAAAACTCCTGGCCATCATGAGTCTATTCTGCCATCCTTTAACTTAATCACACTTGTCTACTTTTTCAGCCAAACCCACCAGACTCTGCTAGTTCCTTGGGAGGATAAATGAAGTCACAGGTCTGTTATCTTTTTTTGCTTCAACAGCAGTTTAGGATGTTTTATCTTTGGTGACTTTTAGAGTTCGTGGCATGTCCTTCCCAGATCTCAACTGCCCTTTCCTTCTCTTCTGACTCTAAGAAGTCTGCTAGAATAGGAGGAAGGAAATTACTGCAGGAAATTACTGAAGGAAATTATTCTTCCCTCCTACAAGCACTCTCCTTAGACAACAACTTTTTTTTTTATTGGAGTCTTGTGGAAATACAGCAGACCTCAATTCTACTCCTCAAGGTTTCCCTTGAGAGACAGTTCCTCTGTGGTCCCTTCTTGCCACTGTTCCTAAGGTTTGGATAATCCTTGCTGGTTGGGAGGCTGAGGACAGAGGACTGCAAGTTTGAGTCTAGCCTAAGCAATTTTGTAAGTCCCTGTCTCAAAATTAAAAATAATTTTCTTTAAAGGTTGGGGGCATAACTCAGTGATAAGAGTCCTTGTCTAGCACACACAAGGTCCTGGGTTCCAGCCTCAGCATTGAAAAAAGAAAAAGAAGAGTAGGAGGAGTAGAGAAAGAAAAAGAAGATTTAGTTCCCTAGAACCCAATATTATTTCACTGGACTCATCCATGGTTCCACTTCCTACATCTCTTAGATGTTTAAAAACCAAGACTGCAGGTGAATAGCTCAGAAATTCCCTCAGCCTGTGTGCTGTAAATCCTGCAGTGATGGGAAAGATTAATTATGCCATGAAGCGGGAGAATTAATAATTAAACAGATTAAAAAGGAGGTGGCTGGAGAGGGGTACTCAAGTGATGGATGATGCAGGAGGAAGTGTAGGCACATTCACTCCCAAAGGCTCTGGCTCGGTCACTGTGTGAGAGAACTTGGTGGAAAGCCCAGAGCAAGGTGAAAAATCTGCTGGGCCTGCCTGGCCAAGCCCTGCCATTAGTCACTGTTTGGAAAAGGCAAAGAGTGCCTGGTTTTCATTCTGGATCACAATAAGAGGTGGGAGGTACCCTCATAAGTGAACAATGCAGAGAATGTGAAGAGAGCAGTTCCAAAACAAAACACTTCTTTTGTTCCAGGGTTGGGGAGAGACACTGAAGTGCTGAGATAGCAGCTTCTGTCCTCACTGAGGCTGAGGCCTGGGAGTTGGATCAGTCCACCCCTCCCTGAGCACTTCGCTGGGTCCCTCAGCCTTGCAAACTGTTGGCCAGTCACAGTGGCATATATATGCAGCTGGACCTGCTTTTCTGCCTTTCTTGGTTTGGATTGCCTTTCCTCCCTGGCTGTGGTAAACTTTACCAATGTCCCTACCATCTGGTTCTTTTCTATACCCGGATGTTTATTTCCCTATTTGTGAGAAGGTAGGCATGACACAGAGACTTGCTTTGCCTGAGGACACATTAGAAGTGATGTGTTACTGCCAGGCAGCAGTGGATTTTGCTGTTGCTCATTTGTGATATTGAGGAAGTGAAACTAAGTTTTTACATTCACTGGCATCCCAGTCCTCCTTACTTTCTTTTAAGTCTTGAGACAGAGTCTCACTAAATTACTAAATTGCCCAGGCTGGGCTGGAAGTTGCGATCTTCCTGCCTCGACCCCTCAGAGCTTGGATTACAAGTGTGTGCCACCACACCCAGATGATAGCAGGTCTTAAGAACTAGAGTATAATATTCCACGTCCTCTCTTGTCCTGCTTTGACTGTAGAAGCCGTATGTTCCAGATGGTGCCACCATAGGAAAATGGACCCCTAGCAGGCCCAGATTAGTGAGCTGCCCCTGAGGACTGCAGGATTTGTATGAGTAAAATACTTTATTGTTTTGGATTATCAAGATTTGGGACTGTTACTATTGTAGCAGAAGCTAGTGTACCCTGATGAATGTGTCCTATCAAGTTTGCAATCCCTTGTCACAGCTTCCAGTATCATTATGTATCCTAACAAAGTCTGTGAGAGAAGAGACATCTATTAATAGAAGCCCCCTGATCAGGGAGCTTTTGAGGCGCCTGTATCTCAGGATGCACTAAACTTTAACCCTGGATCTAGTACACTACTAAAATATGTAACTTTACTTTGGACTCAAACAAAATAGGCTTAAGTGAATTCAGGATTACCATTATGCCCTCGAGGTTAGTTTTTTTTTTTTCAATTAAAGTTTGCTATTAGAATAGTACATTGAAATCTACTATAATATTTGCTGTGAAATTTTATTTCTGTCATACATTTTGTCCTCAGAATCCTCTACATAGAAGGCTCTTGAGAGTATTCTTTTAGAATTCAGCTCTCCTTCCCCTGAAGAATGTTATGTCCTATCTCTTAGGTAATGAGAGATACACGCTTCTCTTTTTACTTCAGCCCTCAGGAAGCTCTGTTTCAAATATGAAATTAGTATAACATCTGTCAGCCCTTATATACTGCATATTTGAACTCCTTGCCCTGGTCTTGGTTTATTTCCCTCATGCTGATTTTTCTATTTTTGTTACATCATCATTTGATATAGTAAGGTAAGTAAAATTCTTTCTGGAATGAAACAAATTATAAACAGACCAGAAATGAAAAACCCCTTTTCTATCCATTATATACGCAGCCAGCTTGGTCCTGGTAATCTACCTATATCTTCCTGCCATGTCATGTGACCTGCCATGCTCTGCTGCATGAGCTCTAGAGGTCCCCCCCCCCCATGGGAGGTGATCCACTAGTTTTATGAACCAAGAAGTATCAGTTACTTGGAGACAGTGCTTTATGATAAAAATGCTGGTACCAGAACTATAAAACCCTTCTTTTAGCTTTATTCTTTGCTGTCACTTGTAACAAGGCAAGTCACTACTTCTGGCTTCTGGTTTTGATGTATCTCAGAAGCCATTTTGAAAGTTAAGCAAAATGGCAAAAGCTTTCGTTTTCTAGGGTAATGGCATTATTCCAAACAGTCCTTAACACTATAAATAATAAATTAAAAATTCCATCTCCATCTAACATTAGTTTTATAGAGTATAATTTACTATAAGTTTTAGTTGTCATCATTTTTCATATGTATCAAAAGGAATTTGGTATCAGATCATCTCATCTAAGGAGAGAGAAAAATGCAGGTCTGAGAACATTATTGCCAAGACCTGCATGTAATGGGAGAATGGGACCACCTCCATCCCCACAAGCACATCACTTTGTGCACTGAGGAGGACGGTCTCCCTATAGGAGATCTGGAAATATGCATCATGTGAAACTCCCCCGCCTTACCTCACAGTGCTGAGACAGCGGACACTTTTAGTTGTGAAACTGTCTAGGGAACCACACGGGCAGGTTTAGGGCCAGGGGTACTAAACAGCCTGTGCTATGGTTTGGATACGGCTTGAATATCTATCATTGCCTGATGTATTGAAATTTAAACCCCAGTGAGCAGTATTAAGAGAATAGAAACCTAATGCAACCAAAGTGTTCAGAAGTGGAGACTTTGGGAGGTGATTAGAATTAGATTAAGTCATCAAAGTAAGGCCCCATGACTGAATCCTGGCTTTTTAAGAAGAAGGAGAGAGGGGCTGGGGATTTAGCTCAGCGGCATAAGCGCCTACCTTGCAAGCCGGCAGTTGTGAGTTTGATCCCAGGTACCGATAAAAAGGAAAAAGACAAAAAAAAAAAAAAAAAAAAAAAAAAAAAAGAAGGAAAGAAATCACACAGGCACACATATTTGTTCTCTGTTGACTGCCATGTGATGCCTCATTGCCACCCAGGACTCTGCCAACAAGGCCATCATCAGATGTGGTATCTCTAAGACTGTGAGTCAAAATACATTTTTTTCTTTATAACTTTCAAAGTCTGTGGTATTGTGATATTAGAGAAAACAGATGAACACAGCCTGCATATGGGAAAGTCCTATACAATGAAGAATATTCACACTAAAATGCCAAAAGCATGATGATGAACAACACTGGATGCTCCAAAGTGATTTTATACTCTGGAATTACTAATTAATAATCTGAAAAAACAACTTCATTTCTGTACTGCCATCCAGGTGAAGTTGTTAAATAAATCATCAAAGCTAATTAATTGGGAAGTCTTTTGGCTGGTATCCAATAAGTTAAGCAAAAGCCTGAGAAACTGGAAACCTTAATTTTATAATCTGGCTTACTGACTGATTCTCTTCACCAGCTTCTTATCTGTGAGATATAATTCATTAAGCAGATAAATTAAAAGACATCTCTCTATATAGGCTTCCTCCTGATCTCATTATGATTATTAACAAGACAGAGAAGCCCTTTGTAAGTAATAAAAATGGTAGTAGTAGCATTAGTATAACAATAATATTCAAAATCCCACTTTTGTGATCTCATTTAATACCATTACACCAAGGACAATGATGTTACTCTCAAACATGCGATTCCAGCTAAAGGTTCTCGTTGAAGCATTTCTTACCTTATAAATCCAAGTGCCTGCTGGATATACATCAGATAATCTGAAACTCACTGTTTCCAGAAATATTTGTTGTGTTGTTAAGCTGAATTAGATCTAATATTTATGTTGATCATCTTTTTTCAGAGTCCTTGGACCTCTGTCACTGCATTTCATTCTGGGACAAACGCAGGCTGACTGGGTCTCCCAGAGGTGATAGGTTCATTCACCTGCAAATCTAGGACTTGAACCTACCGCCCACTGCCTTTTTTCTGGTGCAGCACTTTTTTCTGGGTTACTGTGCCCCTCTAAGAGACTGAGTAAAAGTTGCAGAATCTAGCCAGTCACACAGTATGAGTGAGGACAAAGCCCAGCCCCAAGCAACATAATCCCTTTGGCGAGACAGGATGAGAGAACAGTATGTTCTGCCCAGAACAACAGGGAGCCCTAGAAGTGGATAGGAAAGGGAAGAGCTGGCCAGAAAGAAGGGCCTTCAAAATGATTTTATTTTGCAAATTCAATTGCAAAGTCAAATGGATTTTCTAGCAAGGCTGGAGAGCAAATTATGAAACCTACTTTTCTAAGGCAATCAGGTCTGCAAAGCTTCATTTTAAAAATTCACACTGGATTGAGAATTCAAAGTATGATTGTGTGAAGTGTTCTAGCTAGATTAAGTGTAATGCTATCAAAACAAGTGATTCATATATTCTGCTCGTTTTTCTATTAGTACATGGGCTTTTGGTTATGGCAATTTCAAAAACATGGAAAAGCCCAAAGTGGAGCTGAAACTGTGAATGCATTTACTGCTTTGGTTTTTCTCCTCTTTCTGTTTGAGAGAGATTTACTTGGGAAGTTGGAGGCTCTAGAGGCAGCTCAGTCATGCAGTCAGAGATGCTGCTGAAACATGTTTTCCTAGAAAGCTCTTTGTGATCCACTTGAATTCTAAAACCTTATTTATCACCTCTTTTCAGGCTATAGACTTACAGGCACTATAGAAATCACCTAAACTTGAGCTTCCCCAAACATCTGTTGGTTCATAATATACCTCAACCCAGCAAGAATATATCAACAAGGAGCAGGCTGATCTGTCAGTCTATCCTGCCACGGCTGTCCACTTACACTCTCATCTCCTTGCCACCCACTTCTTCCACATTCATGTAAATAATCACCTAATCTTCTTCCTTTTGATCATATACACCATCAAGTGGGGGAACATTAATGTCATAATCTCCAGATCCAGAACAGACAATTCTCATGTTTTTGTGGCTATCTTTTAGTCCTTTAGTTGTATATATTTTTACATTATTGAGGTAGCAGAGTAGATTCACAATTAAACATAATAATTCTAATTTTTTCAATTATAAATGTAGTAAATACGTTTGAAAATTCTTACAGTAAGAAACAATGGTTTATTCACCCAACATTCAATTTCTTTTATCATCATTATTATTATTTAATATTTTTTTGGTGCTGAGAAATCAAATGCAGGGCTTCACACATGCTGGGCCACATCCTCAGCTGCCAAAACTCATTTTCATCTTCCTTCTGCTCTCCTGCCTGCCTCTGCTGATGGAGCTATAAAGTTAAATACTATATCCACTTTCCTAGCCTCCCTTGCAGCTAGGACTAATCAGGTGACATCCTTGTTGAATGCAATAAAAGCAGACATTTTCTTGGAGTGTGGAAAAGCTTTCACTTTTCTGATACAAGGATACAGAAGTAGCAGCTCCTCTCTACTGATTTGAAAATGTCATAAAGTCTGGAGATTGACTAGCCATGAGGTAAAAGGGACTAGAGTGAGAGAAAAATCAAGTGAAATATAGAAAAGTAGGAACTGTTATTCATAGGCCGCTAAATCTGTGCTGGATATCTCACACTTACTGTTTGTGGAAAAAACCAAAATTTATTTATTTAAGCCACTGTAAATAAAATTTTCTGTTTCTTACAGCCAAAAGATTCCTATTGCCTATTGAATCTAGAAAATATATTTTTGTATAAAATATTTTAAAACAGAAAATAACTCTGTATCAACATATCTATCTAATCTAGTGCCTGTCTGAGATAATCATTGCTAGCATTTCAGTGTAGCTCCTGGCAACCTGGGATTTGGGGGTTTTGGTGTGGATTGTTTTGTTTATATTGTCATATATTACATGTGCTAATTTTGAAAAACTTAAAATAAGATCAGGTTTTTTTTTTTTTTTTTTTTTTTTTTTTTGTCTTTTTGAGACAGGGTCTCACCATGTAGTTCAGGCTGACCCTGGGCTCACTCTGTAGCTCAGGCTGGTCTTGAACTTGCAATGATTCACTTGCCTCAGCCTCCCGAGTGCTGGGATTACAGCAGTGTGCCACCACGCCTGGCTAAGATCAGGTTCTTAAGGACAATAGAAAAGATTTTGATGATAGCTTTTATGCCATTAGAGCTTTATTTAGACTTAGGTTGTTTAATATCAATTTAAAGGATATGTCCAATGACAATCATTTCTCATGTGTCTTGGTAATAAAAATAATAGTCATATTGTTCTTCTGGCTCTGTTTATAGAATAAAAATTTTGGTTTACTAACTCTTCTAATAGTGTTCTCAAATCTTGGAGACAACTAAGCTGCACTTAGGCAGTTCTGAAACAGAAGCACTCCAAATAAAGAGATTTCATTTGAAGTGAAGGATGAGGATGTCAAAAAAGAAACACATTTTCTGGTGTCAACAAAGAGACCAAAGAAGAAAATCCTATGTATGTAGCAGGTCCAAAATTCTCTTGGCAGCAAAAACCACATACAATCTATCAACCAATTGAACTACAGGAAAAAGATGAAAGAAAGAAGCCCTTCAAGCCCTCACCACCACTCGTCATTCTTTCCCTTCTGTGTCTTTTCCTTCTGTATTCTAAGGCGATGTTCACTCCACTGAGTCAGGTCCCCACTGTATTAGTCCCACAAGTTTTACCTTTATTGCAGACTTCACATATTTAGGTTCTTTATTGTTCTTTCTACCATCATCCTCTTTTTTAATCTGATACTTTCTTCCATATCAACCTGCTTTTTTATTATGATTTCTTACTTTTACTTCATTCTCTTCTCTTTTATTAGTATGTTTATAATACATAATAAATATATTCATCCTGGGAAATTGGTACATAAACATATTGCATCTAGATCTTTCTTTATTTCCCTTTCTCCTTACTTTCCCTCCTCTCCCATCTCCACAGCCAAGTCTATCTCCCTGTTTCCTACAATCTATTTTTTATTTTGTTCTTTAAACTATCTGTACCTTGGATTTCTTTAAGATAAACCTTGCAACATGTAATCTGATTTATTTCACTCAGCGTTATAGTCTCAAGATGTATCTATTTTCCTCACATTTATCCTTCTTTATGACTAAGTAGTACTCCATGGTATAGCACATCACATTTTCTTTATTCATTCATCTGTTGAAGGACATATAGACTGATTCCAAGATTTTTAACTATTATGGATTGTGCTTCTGAAAACATGGGTATGCATGTACCACTGTAATATGGTGTCTTTAAATCTTTTAAGAAGAAATATAAGTGGTCAAATAGAATCTTTAGTTTTAGTTTTCTGGAGAATCACCACACTGAGTTCCATAGTGGCTGTACTAGCTTACATTCTCATCAACTATGTAGAAAGATTCCTTTATTTCTTACAACCTAGCCAGACTTTTTTTTTGCGCTCTTGAGGATAGTGATGATTTCTAGAATAAGATGGAATCTCACTGTTGTTTTGATTTGCATTTCTTTTTTTTACCTTCTTTCCCTTTTTTTAATAAACTAGATTTGTTGGTATAATTCAGATATGCATAATAATCACATCCATCATAGGGAATTTGTAGCTATATATGACACATCTTTTATTTTAAGTGACAAATTTGGTTTTAATAACTTTTTTAAAGAGGATAAAACCAAGGAAAATAAAACTAATAAAAATTAATCAATGTAAGTGATACAGGACTTCAAAACCTTACAAAATCAACAATAATTACCATAAGGCCTTTTGTTGTCTTCAAAATAGCAGCAGATACCTTTGGACATAGTAAAAATTGAACAGAACAGAATAGAAGAGAAACAATAAAAACAAAACAATAAAGGACTTCAAAACAAGCCAATAGTAAATCCAAAATGGCTACCATAATACATCTTGTTATCTTTAAATAGCTGCTCATGTCTTCAGATCTAACATAATCAAACAAAACAAAAGACAATAAAACCCAGCTGAACAAAATAATGAAAATGATATGGTTTCCAGGGGGATCGCTCCTGGAGAGGCCTTGTTCTTTCTCTCCACAGTCTGCAAATGGCGCTGAGTCACGGAGAGAGGCTTGGGTCTGGTTGTCCCCACTTGGGCAGTGGCCCGTGCATGCAGCTGGCTTCCATGTGGGGATCACCTCCTGGTGAGGCCTAGTTCTCTCTTTCCACAGGCCACAAACTCATGGAGAGAGGTTTGGGTCTGGTCCTGATTGGCATTTCTTAACGACTGAAGATATCAGATACTTTTTCATGTACTCAATATATTTGTACTTCTTTTAAGATGTGTCTATTTGTTTCAATTGCCCATTTTTGGATTGGTCTTTTATTTTAAAGGTTTAATATTTTAGACTTTATATATTCTAAGTATTTCTACTCCTAATTCATGTCTTTTTGTATTCTGCCAGGGGTGCCAAACTTTTATAAATTTTTCTTTTAATTCCTATAGCAAACAATTTTTAAAGGTCTACTGAAGAACCACTGTTGTCTCTCCCTTATTATGTAGTAATTTTTCATTTATCTGTTTTTTTCCTTCTTGTTTAATTTTCAAATAAAATAAGCTATATTTAAACCTAATAGTTACTTAGAAAGAAAGTATATGGCTTGTGCTCCAGTGGGACTGGGCCTGTTTCTCTGCATATTGAGTGTTAGCCAAATTCTCATTTCAAACCTATAGACAGATGACAGAATGGGGACATATACAGTGCCTAACTCAATTTCAGTGTATAATAAATACATTTAATAGATCAAATTATTGAGGACTTACTATGTGCCAAGCATGATTTTACATGTGCTAATTTAATTCTCATAAGAGGATATGAGTTGGATGCTATAATTACCCTCCTACTGTTTTCCTAAAAATAAAATAAGGTCTTATATTAATTTTTGCTCCAAAAGACACAATAAGGCCAGGAATATAGCTTAGCAGCACAGTGCCTGCCTGGCAACCTCAAGGTTGTGAGGTCAGTTCCCAGTATGATTAAAAAAAAAAAACACTAGAGCTTATGTTTTTTATGTACAACCATCTACATTCATCTATAAAAGCTACATTTATTCATGTATAAAAACCTACATTTATTCAAATACAGTCATGTCCTCTTCCTCTTGAACATAGTTATAATATTCTGAACCCAGAATTCTCACTGAATTTTTTTGTGACTCCATTTTCTATAGAAAAATCGGCCCCAACTCTGCATGTCCAGCAACAGAGCTCTACTTAAAGGAGCACTGTCTTTCATTACTTTTCTTGTTGCTGAGACAACATACCTGACACTCAAAATTAAAGGAAAAGGTTTGGCTCCCAGTTTGTAGAGGTTTCAGTTCATAGTTGGTCAGCTCCAAGACAGGGTGGCATAGCAGAGGGGTAGCACAGAAGACAGGCAGCAGGAGTAATATGCAACAAGTGACAGGACAGGACCACAGCTTTTTCTATCGCTTATATCTTACCCAGCACTCACACCTTTCTAGCATCACACCATAAATCGTTCTCAGCATCATGTCCCCAGCAGCACAAACTGTAGATCTAGCCACCTTGGAAAAGCCCCACTGACGACCATGTGAGGTTTTGGGGGGATATCTGGATACAAGCCATAACAAGCACTTTTTATCTATATAACCTGTTGTAGTGCATTGGCAACACAGAGCTATCAGTAATTTTATCCCTGAATTCTTCACCCAAATCATGACTTCTTAAAAGCTAGGCTTCACAAAGTTTCCATTAAATCAAGTATTAATTGAAGACTTGTGAGATAGGTCTGGCAACAAAAAATGATGACAGTTATGAATGATGGTCCACACAAGACTGATGAAAAGCTACAGGTACCAAATTCAGAAAATACTTCTTTATTTCACATGAGTGCATTAAGTATGCCTGTTAAAATATATAATGCATTGAATTATAAAGTCATATTGGACCCAACCATGCTCACTGATGATCAAGTGTGCACATTATTCATGCATTGTGTCTGTTCTCTGATTGGTCATTGGGCAATGAATCTTCAGTTCATTGTTTATATAGGCATTTAACTCTTGTCAAAAGGTGTCTACTTGAGTATTTACAAATAATTGCACTTTATTTATTTTAAGCATTAACGACAATAATATCTATTTATATTTAATTATATATTATTATCTTATAATTCAATATGGCTGTCATGTGTTACAATGGATATACTAAATGCATATGCTTGGCTGATGATCTGGACTTTTTGGGGAGTAGGGCTTATACTATGATATTCTGAAAAATCATGCTAGGGCTTATTTTCCAAATAGGTCTATTCCAGACAAATGATACAAATAAGTATATAAAAGTTGATAGAGGAAGTAGAGAGGAGAGAAGAAGGGGAAGAAAGGGATTAGAAAAAAAATAAACTGTAACATGTACATAGAACCGCTCCTCACGATGACTATAAACTGTATGAGCTACAAACATGTACTAATAAAATTTTTAAAAATCTATAAAATTCAGGAAAAAGAGAGATTAAGGAAACTGTTTGAAGTCACACATTTAGAAAGGAGCAAGCTAGAATGTGAACCCAGGAAATTTGATTATGGAATTCAAACTTTTATGCAGTACGCTCAACAATTTTAATGGCATCTAAGCAATAAGTCAAAGTTTCACTGAGGCAAAGCAGACAGGATCTGGGGAGATACCACTTATGCCTAGTGACTTCCACATTATCCCCAGCATGGTCACCAGAGGTCCACTCATTGGTCTCTAGCTGTCTCTGGCTGTAACTGTGTTCATTTGGGGTAAGGGTAGGTAGGAGAGGAAATTCTTCAGAATAAATTCCCCTAAATTTCCCAATAAAAGACAGATTGTGGGTTGGGCTCACCCTATATAGCCAACCTCCTCTCATCAGTATAAACCCTCTAAACAAACTGAATACACTGGACACTCTAGAGAAGCAGCAGTGACTGAGTCTTACATGATCTTGCCCTTAAAGGTTCTGCACACTCTCACTTTGCTTCTCTACAACTTTACAGTGTCATTTACAAAGATGAAAAGTTGTATCACTCATCTTCCAGATGGAAAAATGGCAATACAAAGAAGGGGAGTAGCCCAGCAATGCTAGGCAGCTGGTTAGGGTTACTATATACATCTGCTTCCTGTCTAACCTCCTTAGAATCAAGTGCCGTGAGCCCTAGATTTATTAATCTCTGTTGACTTGGACATAATTTGACAAAATGCCTTGGTCATTCTTATAGCAAACATTTATCACAGTACTGTAGTGGGCATCGAGATAAAAGATAATGACACAAGGTTTCTTTTCCCAATATGGCAGGGGAGGAACAATCACAATCCATAACAATAGGTCTATGATTGGAGGCCTGGATACAACACCCCACCACACCCCAATCTGGTATGTGTTTCCTCAGATGAGGGACAGTGCTGCCAAGGCTCTTCTCAGTGCAAGGAGAAAAACTAGAGAATGCTTTTATACCTTGAACTTTGGTTACATAAAACAGTACAGATCAATACTGTGTAGGCTTGCAGAAAGAGGATTCATATTTCTCTCATGATGTGCTTCTTATCTGCAACTGTTTATAAAGGACTGTTTGAAAACAGAATTATCACCAGTTGTTAATAAGAGATACCAACTGGATTAACAGTAATTTTTAGAAAGTCATTAATGAAAATTTATTCAGCAAAAATATGTTCATAAGTAATTCAGGAGTGTTTCATCCATTAAATAAAATAGTGTTGCAAAGCTCATTACAAAAATCTGAGTAAAAGACAAAAGGATGAGTTTTCTCTTCTGAGGCATCTGCATAAATTAGATGAAAAAAAATACTACACTTGGGGCTTGGAAACTGCACGTACCCATCTACAATCCTTAGAGGACTGGAAGAAATGGAAATTAGAAAGCAGCAAAAGCACTGCATTCTGTATTACTGAAAGACACTGTATCCCTGAGGCAAAAAACAAAATATATAACAAGAAAGAATGCTTTGGTCCTAGCGAGGACTGGAGAGGAAAGAAGAGAGGACAAATTCGGCTCTCTGCTCCAGGTACATGTGAAATGATTTACTGCAGTACTGAGCAATTTATACATGGACCAAAGTTCCCCAATTCCTGAGATACAGAATATCTGACCCTGATTACAGTTCCTCAGATGCATGGTGCCAAGTAGCCAGTGAAGGGCAAATACATTCCCTGAAGGAAGAACAAATAGCTTTTCCTTAATGTAATGAAATAACCGAATCATGGAACTGTTTAATCTGGTTATTGGGCTGACTTTGGTCACATGATTCAGATGAATCAACATCACAAACGTAACTATGGTTAAGCTTTCTGGGAACCAAGAGAGCTTCCAGGTTGTGTAGTTCAGCGCCTCCTTCTATGGCAGTAATGGTGAATTTTTTAGTGCTTTCAAGAATAACAGCCTGCGATAGCAGGTGTGCCATAGGTTTGCCCCCACCAGAGGATCTGAAGCTCCTCTACCTTCTGCACTCCTAATCTTGCTTGCTACAATGGTTCACGTACATACAGAACAATTTAACCTAAGGAGGTGCACAGACAAACCTTGAACAGAAACAATGTTGGTTCTCAAGTTCTGTAGGGCCACTCTTGGGTCCATTATGCCCATTTAGATGAAAGAGGGAAAGGTTCTATACCTTACTCTTCTTGTAGGAAAGGCAGTCATTGTGTAAATACTAGGTCAGCAAAGTAATGGAACTGATCATCCAGTTTTGTATTTTCTGAACCTTGCTCTGCAGAGCACCTGTGTCTCATGAAACACTAATAGATGCCTTAAAGATGCATGTGTCTTACACTGTCAGGACTATGTTAAATAAAGTTTATACAGGATGTCTCAGAACTTTTCATAGGTATAATAGTTGACACACTATGTCAACTTGAGAAGTTTAGAAGTTTAACTAAATGATTCACCAAGAGGCCAGGGTTCTTACTTTGTAAACATCCTCATCCTGTGTAAGAGGAGAGTAAAGAAATGGTGTGAGTGCTACAGTAGCCATAAGAGGGTTACCCTGCTTATAATATAAGGGAGGAAAAGATGCTTGCTCTCCCTTTTTGCTCTTGTTGCTTTTGCCAGCTTCTGCTGCTTTAAACTATTGCCCCTGTGCCATGCCATCCTGCCTTGAAGCCAGCTGCTGATTATGGGCTGAAACTTCCACAGACTGTTAGCTAAATAAACTTTTTCCCTTTATCTTTAGGTGTTGGGTATTTTGTCCCAGCAACAAGAGAAAAGTAAGCAAGACAATAAACTAATTTGTAAAGTGAATTTCCTGGTGGGGGATCTAATATTCCAAATTATCTGACCACAGAAGGACAATCTTATCTATATTTCTTGAGGAAGAGTTCTGTAGAATATAATTTGTCATCTAGCCAATTTTTAAAAACATCCTAATAAAGTAAAATATCTAGTTTAGATTGATTCTTAAACGGTTTTTTATAACTCATTACTACAAAATCAAATCCTATTATAGCTATTTATTACAGAATGAAGGAATCAGTGAGTCACTAGGCCTTGGAGCCACAGGTAGTTCTTCTCTTGGCTAGGCTAGGAAAACGCTACTGTTAAGAACTAGAATTACATTATTTTGCTGAAACTTTAATATATGAGAAGATTTACAACTGAAGGCCACTGAGAAGCATGATTTCACTGAGTGCATAGGGGATAGCCTGAAGCACACAGCAATACATGTATCTCAATGTGGGGCTTTAAAGGAAAAAATGTTGGCAATAATCACTCTCCTCTCATCTCTGCCCTTCACACAGCTATGTGCTTTCCTTGCTCCAGATGGTGCTGTCCAATATGGCAACCATTGGTCATATGTGTTTTTTTAGATGGTCCTTTTCAACATGGTAGCCACAGATCACGTGTTTCTTTAAATGGTTCTATTTAAAATATGGCAGCACTAGTCATGTGTGTTTTTCTCTAGAGGTCTGTTGACCAGTGTTACAGTCATTGGACACGTGTGTTTTTCTAGATAGTATTGCCCAATATGGTAGCCACATAGGGCCACATGTGTGTTTCTACAAAGCTATGTTCACCAGTAAGGCAGCTACTACCACAGGTAGCTGCAGAACATTTGAAATATAAACTGAATTATAACCTAAAATAGATGCAAGGTTTCTAAGCCAAATGTGAGAAAAACAATGTAAAGTGTCATCAGTTTTTATTGACTATATGTTAAAACAATAATTTTATATATTGTGTTAATAAAATATAAAAATTTATTTTTACCTTTAAAAATGTAGCTACTGGAGAAATATAACTGGCATATATGGCTTGCAAATTCTTTCCATTGACTAGCACTGCACTCATCCATTTATCTACCCTTCAAACAGTGAGCACCATGAACAAAATAACTTCATCTTTATTTCTACAGCCGTAGAACTTACCTCAGAGTCTGGCCCACATCAGGACCTCTGTAAAACTTTGTTCCCCTAACTTTATTCCCTAGGGGTTGGCTCTCCACAGCTAGATCCTTTGTTATATTAGAAAGTATCATAAAGAAGTGGACTGTTTTGGAATTATTTTGAGTTGAATTGCAGTTCCAGCAAATTGTTTAACTTTTTTGAACTTTAATTTGCTTACCTAAGAAATACGATAAGGTGAGGATTAAAGTTAATGCTTCTGTAAAGCATACAGCCAATTCCTGTCACCAAATGATGGAGTGGAACTTTAGTATCTGTTTTTAGCCATAGAAAGTGGGCTGAGACCCACCTACAGACCTACACAAGACTCTGATGTTTGGAGACAAGGGCCCAGCTATGTGTGAAGTAAGAAAGCTAAGGAACTTATCATGATAAGAGAACATTATTCATCATAAAGATTGCAAAATATGCCTATCTATCTTTAGGCATTTAGCTAGATCTGCATGGCCATAGTTAATCTGTCTTTCCCCTAAAATAGTGTGATCATTGCACGTAACAATATATCAGATGTTTCAGGTCTTAATGCCACAACTCCAGCATTCCTGATTCTAGCAATCTCAATATACACTCACTCAGCAAATGAACCAGAGAAGGTGAGCTGTTATGGATGAGGGTCTGTCAACAGGGCCAAACATTCAGGTAGTCTGTAAAGCAGAGGTCTCAACCTTAGGATACAAATTAAAATCACAGAGGGAGGTTTAAAGAGATCCCAATGCCAGGCCCAGACCTCAGACCAATTAAATCAGAATCTCTGCAGGTAGACATTAGTGTTTTGAAATACTCCCCAGGTAATTCCACAATGTAGCCAAGGCTGAAATCAACTGCTATAATCCCTTTCTCATCCTAGTATGTTCTCAAATACTTGGAAACAGTGGGGGTTCAGAAGTCAGGGAATTGTCCCAGAGCCAGCATTTCTTGGTTGTGTGATCTTAGGCAAGTTACTTACCCTCTTGAGCTTCATTTTCCTCAACTGTGAAACTAGCTAATAATACCTTTTCATGAGGCTTGGTGAAGATAAAGTGAATATAATTACCAATGGAGGGTGCCTGGTGCATGGTGGGGTCCGGAGGAAAGGCAGTTACTGTCACCACCACTATTCCCCTCACCTCAGGGGAAATGATTCCTCCCTGTGGTAAGGTCACTATCACTTTCTCCTATGTTCACACTACATTGGTCAGGGGAGACAAGACACATAAAAGGACAGCAGACTGAGGCTTCTCTAAACCTCATGTGCACCAGCAGCACAGGGGCCCTTGTTAGCCCATGAAGGCTGATGTCCTGGGTCTAATGTGAGGCCTTCCGAGATTCCAAGTTTCTATCAAGTTCCCAAATGAAGAGACTGTAAGTGACCCTAGGACACACTCCGAGGACCAACATAGTAAACACTAAAGCTCTTTATAGGGGCAAATCCCTACTAGTATTTCCTTAACATACTTTTGGAAGTTAACACCATATTACCTATTCTGTTAGATTTTCAAACCATTTTTGAGATATGTTATAACAAACTTAACACCTATAAAAAAGACATTCTCGGACTCGGTTAAACTCAGCGCTGAAGAGGCCTCGCAGGTCGCAGTCCCTCCAAAGGGGATTCCGGGCTCAGACGGGGCGGGAAGGAGATAAAACTGCCACCCACCCTCTCCCACTCGTGTCAAATCTACTGGTATTTTCATGTTTTATTGCTATAAAATAGTACCACTGACTATGAAGAACAGATGAAATACTCTTGTGCTGTCTGGAGGAGGAGGGGTCCCGGGTTCCTGAGGAACCTCGGCCTGTGCCCAGCCGCGCCTGGCCATCGGTGTGCGGAGGAGGAGCTGCGCGGATCCGGAGCCGCCTGCAGAGGCCCCTTCCTTTGTCTGGAAGAGGAGGGGTCCCGGGTTCCTGAGGCACCTCGGCCTGAGCCCAGCCGCGCATAGCCATCTGTGTGCAGAGGAGGAGCGGGGTAGATCCGGAGTGCCCGCAGGAGGCCCTTCCTTTGTCTGGAGGTTTGTGGATATCTCTGCAAGCAGGGAGGGATCACAGGCTCCTGAGGCACTGCGGTCTGTGGTGAGTACCCTAACCCGGCTGCGATCCAAGAGCTGTGGATCTACCAAGGGGCAGGTGGGCGCACAGTGTCCCTGAGGCCCAGCTTGTCTGGAACTGCGGAGTTCTGAACAAGCAGAGAAGGGCCATTGGTTCTGCAGGCCCAATGGCCTGGGGTAGAGTGGTGCCAGAGTCTCAGTAGCTGCAAACATAGAAGGGGATTTTCCACAGATCCTGAGGAGGCTTTCAAATAACACTTGAAACACAGAAATATAGGAAAATGACAAAACGAAAGACCAAATTACAACCTCAAACCTCCAGCCCATCTCAGGAAACCCTAGGAGAAGTGTATTTAGAAGAAAATATATCCCATCCTCCTCATATATTAGACACAATAGCTACTGAAGTTGACAAGCAACTCCAGGAAGCTTTAAAGAAATTCAAACTCGAAATAATTTCCCAGATAAAAGAAGAAATGATAAAAGAAATGAAAGAGATTCTAAATATATCTAAAGAAAACACAGATAAAAAATTGGAGGAATTAAACAAAAAGATAGAATCCCTAGACGAGCAATATAAGAAACAAACAGAATACATAATGCAGATGCACAGAGATATACAGGAAATAAAAAACTCCACTGAAAGTTGTAAAAACCGCCTTAATGAAAGTGAAGATAGAATTTCAGACCTTGAAGACAGGATTGCAGCAAGTGAACAGGAAAGGAAAGATCTTTTAAAAATAACAAGGAATCAGGAAACAACAATTCAACAACTGCAAGATGATGCAAAGAAGAATAACATAAGAATGATAGGGATTAATGAAAAAGAAGGAGACAACATAAAGGATATCAAGAGGATATTTAGAGAAGCAATAGCTGAAAACTTCCCAAGCATGAGATCAGAAACTGACATCAGGATCAGTGAAGCATATAGAACTCCAAATAGTCATAACCAAAATAAAACTACACCCAGACATATAATAATCACCATCCCAGAAATCCAACACAAGAATAGATTATTAAAAGCTGTCAGAGAGAAAAGACAGATCACTTATAAAGGAAAACCTATCAGAATCACAGCAGACTTCTCATCACAAACAATAAAGTCAAGAAGAGCATGGAGTGAAGTATTCCAGATCCTAAAGCAAAATGATTTCCAACCTAGACTGATATATCCTGCAAAACTATCATTTAAAATAGATGGTGAAATACGATACTTCCATGACAAAGAACAGCTGAAGAACTTCATGAACACCAAACCAACCCTGCAAAAAATATTGAAAGACAGTTTAGATACACAAAGGAAAAAACCACTAAGCAAAGCAAATAATTAAACAGAACAGAAAGATAAAGATGCAACAGCAGAGAGATAAGAATCCTACAATTAAACAACATTTAACAGTAATAACCATTAATGTAAATGGTCTCAATGCACCAATCAAAAGAAACAGACTAGCAGAATGGATCAAGAAACAAAATCCAACCATATGCTGTTTACAGGAAACCCATCTAACCCAGAAGGATACTCACAGACTGAAAGTCAAAGGATGGAAAACAATTCTTCATGCAGCAGGAATCCAAAAAAAGGCAGGAGTAGCCATTCTGTTTGCAGACAACGTGAACTTTAAACCAACAATGACCATAAAGGACAAAGAAGGTCACTACATACTCGTAAGGGGAAAACTCCAAGAGGAAGAGATAACTATCTTAAATATATACGCACCAAACTCCAGAGCGCCCAGTTATATAAAACAATTATTAACAGAAATGAAAACTCAAATTATCAGTAACACAATTGTAACGGGAGACCTTAATACGCCATTGACACCAAGGGACAGATCGACCAGACAGAAAATGAGTAAAGAAATAACAGAACTGAATCATACCTGTGAACAAATGGGTTTGATAGACATATACAGAATGTTCCACCCAACAACATCAGAATACACATTCTTCTCAGCAGTACATGGATCATTTTCTAAAATAGACCATATATTAGCTCATAGAACATATTTAAACAAGTGCAAAAGAGCTGAAATCATCCCTTGCATGTTATCAGATCACAGCGCTCTGAAATTAGAAATTAATGATAAAAGATACCGCAAAAATCCCACAAACACATGGAAACTGAATAACACACTCTTGAGTAATCAGTGGGTCACAGAAGAAATTAAAGAAGAAATCAAACAATACCTAAAAGAAAATGAAAATGCAGATACAACTTACCGGAATCTGTGGGATACAATGAAAGCCGTTCTGAGAGGAAAATTTATTGCACTGAGTTCCCACATCAGGAAAACAGAACGAATACAAATAAATAACTTGATGCTACACCTCAAACAGCTAGAAAAGGAAGAGCAAGTCAAGCCCAAAGCCAAAAGAAGAGAGGAAATTATAAAAATCAGAGCAGAAATCAATGCAATAGAGACTAAGAAAACAATCCAAAGGATCAACAAATCAAAGAGTTGGTTCTTTGAAAGAATAAATAAAATCGATAAGCCCCTAGCCAACCTTATTAAAAAAAGGGAAGAAAAAGCTCAAATTCATGCAATAAGAAATGAAAAAGGAGAAGTCACTACAGACCCAATAGAAATACAGAAGATCATCAACACCTATTTTGAAAACCTCTACTCTCAAAAGTTTGATAACACAGAAGAAATAGACAGTTTCTTAGAAGCATATGAAGTGCCAAAGCTAGATCAAGAGGATGTAAAACTGTTGAATAACCCAATCTCGGTTACTGAAATTGAAAATGTAATTAAGTCCTTACCCACCAAGAAGAGCCCAGGCCCAGATGGATTCACTGCAGAATTCTACAAGAAATACAAAGAAGACCTAATGCCGACACTCCTCAAACTATTCAATGAAATTGAAAGGGAAGCAATCCTTCCTAAGTCATTCCTGGAAGCAAATATCACTCTAGTACCAAAACCTGAGAAAGACCCAACTAAAAAAGAGAACTATAGACCGATCTCCCTAATGAACACAGATGCAAAAATCCTCAATAAAATATTGGCAAATAGGATCCAGCAAATCATCAAGAAGATTATACACCATGACCAAGTGGGATTCATCCCAGGAATGCAAGGATGGTTCAATATACGCAAATCAATAAATGTAATTCACCATATCAATAAAGCCAAAAATAAGAATCACATGATCATTTCTATAGATGCAGAAAAAGCCTTCGATAAGGTCCAACATTTATTCATGATAAAAACTCTACAGAAAATTGGAATAGATGGTCTTTACCTCAATATAATAAAGGCCATTTATGACAAACCAACAGCCAGCATCATACTAAATGGCCAAAAATTGAAAGCCTTTACTTTAAAATCAGGCACAAGACAAGGATGTCCTTTATCACCACTCCTATTTAATATAGTACTGGAAGTACTAGCCAGAGCAATTAGGCAAGAAAGAGAAATAAAAGGGGTAAAGATAGGAAAAGAAGAAGTTAAGTTGTCATTGTTTGCAGATGACATGATACTCTACATAGAAGACCCCCTAAGCTCCATTGAAAGACTCTTAGATACAATAAATAAATTCAGGAATGTGGCTGGATACAAAATCAATACTCAGAAATCAATAGCATTCCTATACACAAACAACAAAACCACAGAGAGGGAAATAAGGGAAACTGGACTATTCACATTAGCAAGCAAAAAAATGAAATATTTAGGAATTACTCTTACGAAAGAAGTGAAAGACTTATACAGTGAAAACTATATTACACTGAAAAAGGAAATTGAAGATGATCTCAGAAAATGGAAAGACATCCCTTGCTCATGGATAGGAAGAACAAACATTGTGAAGATGGCCATTCTCCCAAAACTCTTACACAGATTCAATGCAATCCCAATAGAAATACCATCAACATACCTTATAGATCTAGAGAAATCACTCCTGAATTTCATCTGGAACCAGAAGAGACCTAGAATCGCAAAAGCAATTCTAAGCAGCAAAGACAAAGCAGGAGGCATCACAATCCCTGACTTGAAATTATACTACAAAGCAACAGTAGTAAAATCAACATGGTATTGGAATCAAAACAGAGCTGAAGATCAATGGAATAGATTAGAAGATACAACCACAACTACAAACACACTCAACCACCTTATCTTCGATAAAGGAGCCAAGCAGGTTCACTGGAAGAACGACAGTCTCTTTAATAAATGGTGCTGGAAAAACTGGCTCTCCATTTGCCAAAAACTAAAGCTAGACCCATGTCTATCACCATGTACTAAATTAAAATCTAAATGGGTCAAAGATCTGAATATTAAAACAGAAACGCTAAATCTATTGGAAGACAAATTGGGTAGAAACCTTGGAGACATAGGAGTAGGTAGAGAATTCATGAATAGGACTCAAACTGCACGGGAAATACTTCCCAGAATCAATAACTGGGACCACTTCTTATTAAAAAGTTTTTGCATGTCAAAAGAAATCTCCAGCATAGTGAAAAGAAAACCCACAAACTGGGAAAAGATTTTAGTGAACTCTCTCTCAGACAAGGGACTCTTGTCTAAAACATATAAAGAATTAAAAAAACTCAGACCTTCAAAGTTCAAAGATCCAATCCAAAAATGGGCATCTGAGATGAATACGCAATTCTCAGATGAAGAAATGCAAATGGCAAATAAATACATGAAAAAATGCTCATCATCATTGGTCATTAGAGAAATGCAAATTAAAACCACACTGAGATACCATCTCACTCCTGAAAGAATGGCCAGGATCAAGAAAACCAACAACAACAAATGC